CTGCGAGGGCAGGGAAGGCGCCAGAGCAGCTGCGCTTGGGGTATCACGTTAGCGTTCTGCCTCCCGCAGGGCAGGGCTAAAGGAGCCGGCTTCTCAGGCCCATTTCCTGTCTGGGCCGTTACCCACCCCAGGTGCTGGGTTCGGTTTTGTTTACGAACGACAGATTTCCCTCTTTTATAGATTTCAGGGATGTCTGTCTGAGTACAGCTCCTGTTGGTGGAAAGTGACTTTCCCGAATGGAATGACCTGGCAGTCACAGTTTGTTATTTGTGAGTTTGACTGCTTGTCGCAGCTCTGCCTAAGGAGGCCACTAGAGCTTGTCTGGGAAGACCCTACTTTTAGTTCACAGATATTTTCTTTCTGCCTTTCTTTTTTGGAAGAGTTAATGGTTTGAACACACACAGGAAGTGGGGAGTGGTGAGGACTGAAGCATTGTTTCTAGCACTTTTAACTTTGACCCAGATCTCAAGGATTGGATAATACCCACGGGAAATCTGTACTGTGCCTAAGCAAATATTGTGGATTTCTTTCCTTTGAGGGAGCAAAGATACACAAATGAAGCCATGAACACATGGCTTGCAGAGAAAATTTAACTCCATCAAAATATTGAAGCACAATTTAGCTTCAGTGAAGCTAACAGCTAAAACATACAGTATTTAGCTTTTTAAAAGCAAAGGGATAAGCAATCTTACAGAGAGGGAGAAGGAGAGAGAGAGGGAGAGGGAGAGAGAGACACAGAGAGACACACACACACACAGAGAGAGAGAGAGAGTGCAGTACTTGTAGTTATATATAAAATCTGTATCGAGGGAAAGAAGACCGAAGCAGTCAGAAGGAGAACTAGGCTGGGAAGCTCGCAGGCTGCTCACAGCTCCTCCCACCTAACTGCTCTTTCCTAGTGTGCTCGCGTTAGAAGTCGGGTGACTGACATTGTGTTTGCGGGGAGGTTAGTGCAGCCCGTCTTAGGATTTGGATCACTGACGTGTTGGACGACTGCACCCTTCACTCAGCTTCACGTTGCCAGAACATCACAGACGTCTGAGCCTTTTCCCTGTAGAGGAAGCCTGCGCCGGCCGCCCGCACTCCAGGGCTGTGAGGCCAGGAGAGCTCTGAGCGGCAAGGCGGGGCCTCCCTCCTTCCCAGGCGAGGGCTCGGGGCTCTCGGGAACACTCGGTGATTGGTCGCTGTGAGCACACGGCTGTTCTCGCCCAGTGACCCCTTCCAGCTGTGCCCTGGTGATTATCAACCAGGCCTGACCCTTCCTTTAGACTGGGAAATACGAGCGCATTGACCAACAGTCTTAACAGGGGTTAGGGCTTGGCAAGGCTGGCTGGGAGGGTAGGTGTGACCTGCTAGTTACAAAATCCTGGAGCACCTGTGCGGAACCGCCCCCAGCGCCCGCAAGTGGACTCTCCCACGCCCTCGAGCAGGTTGTGGACGGAACCGCCTGACCCGCCCGGGCCTGAGGAAGGCGGTGTCAGAGGCTGGGCCACGCTGTTCCGGCCGTGGGGTTGGCCGCGGCACCGTGCCCCCTCACGCTGCAGGCTGTGCTTATTTTTACTTGCCCCAGACTTGCTCAGCAGAGCTTGTCGTTTCTTTTCCTGGCTCTAATAAAACTTGGCTACTCTTTGCACTTGTCTCAACCAATTCTTTGCTCGGGACAGAAAAAGCCCAGAAACCACCTCCAAAAGGGGAGTGCAGCACCCCACATGGCAACGGTCACAGTGGAGGGCGCGTTGGTGTTCTCCAGGCGAACGCTCTGCGCGAGGAGCCGGCCTGCGAGCTCCATGTGCTGGGATCGGTTCTCTCCCCCACGTCCACCTCAGTTGCACAGCGTAGCTCCACTGCCCGGACCTGAGCGCTCTGAGCAAGCTCCGCCTCCAGGAGCACTGTCGCCAGCTTCTGCTTGCCGTGTCCCGGACCCTGTGTACCCTGGGGTGCAGAGCCGGCGCCGAGATTTTCTGAAATCGTTCTCCGGAGGCACCGCTTTGAATGCCCCTATGATTTGCTGTCCTATTGTTCTTTTAATGTAGACTTTTTCTCCTGGGCACCAGGTCTTCTCTGGCTGTCAGAGGACAGCCCACCAGCTCTAAGGATTTACCGTCTCCCCGAGGTAGTACTGGTGTGTAAGAGGCCAGGCCAGGTCTGCGGGAGGCCCGAAGCTTCTGGGTTTGGTTTCCGATAAACTGCGTCTAGAAGCCCTTGCTTTGTCCTGAGTGCTGACTGCTGGAAAGCAAGGCAGCCAGCATTCCTACCCTTTCAGACTCTCCACCCAAGGGTGTTGGGGGAACGAATGGCCATGCGAGATGGAGTTAATACAGCTTACAAACGGCCGCCTGCTCAGACAGGGAGGTAAGAGCCTCCTCCTGTCTCGAGAGCTTCTTGCATCCCCTCCTGAAGGCAAGGCCTCCCTCGCTCCTCATGAGGAAGGAGAGGAAGGGGCTCCTCATGTAAACCGTCTTTCCTCATGTGGGGAGCCTCTCCTGTGACGTACCTACTGGATGTCCAGGTGGTACTGGTCCTCACTGTGTCTCCTTATGTAGATGGGGCTTTGGAAGCAGATATTGCTCTGACTGCTGCTTTTGTTGTGATTTATAAAGAGTTTTTGTCTCTGATCCTAAGCTTTTATATTTTACCCATATATGCATAAAACGAAGAAGCAGATTCACTTTGTTTTGTTTTCTGTTTTGTACTGGGAATCTAACTCAGGACCTCGCACTTGCCAGGCAGGCACTTGTGCCACTGAGCTATACCCCCGGCCCAGGATAAACTTTGTTAACTTGCAAATAGAGTGAAACCTCTAACTCTTCCATTTCTGAGCTAAAGGCCCCCTCAGGACTCCAGTCTCACAATAGAAGGGTGCAATGACGAGATCTCAAATTGTGGAAAAGAGCACGCCCTCAGGCACTGCTCTGGTCTCTTGTTACGGGTGCTGGCGCGTGGGAGGCCCGGCTGCAGCCCAGCCGAGGTGCCCTGGGGTGCTCCTGTCCTTTAGAAGCCCCTGTTGTTTACGCTTCGCACTGTCTGTAAGAAGAAAGAGCTTTCACGAGAATGACATTCCAGAAATAAATTCAGTAGATGAGAACAACAAAAAGAGATTTCCAACTAAAGTATGGAGGAAAGCTATTTATTCTGCCGTAAAAATGGGTTACACACGACAGTGCAGTACTGGGGGTATCTCTTAAAGGTTTATGTGAAGCTGCGTTAGGTGAGCCAATTAGGGAAAAACAAACAAACATAAATAATCACGCTGTGCGAAAATGTGTCCTGTCAATTAAAATATTGCACACAAGCTGTGGACATACTTTATTTTCCTTGAAATAAAAGATTGTCAGTCTCTGGAAAGACTGAGGGATATTTTCTTATTATACAAATGTCTTGAACATTATCACGTAAAATTTAGGAATTGAATTAGGAGTAATAAATACAAACCTCCCTTCAGCTTTGTAAATGTGTGTACATCTTTTGTAATTTATCTTCCTTCAAAATAAGTCAGAGCTTCCCATTTCCCTTGAGGCTTTGCACTTGTGCCTAAAGCCAGCAGCAGTGTATTAAGCAATAGGCAATCTGCCTCTGGTATCGGTTGCCAGGCTCAAGGGGAACAAAGGTGTATTCAGTAGGTTTAGGATCAGTAGCTCAGAGCTCCAGGAAAGGATGTTGTAAGTCAACACCGCCCACCTTTGTGTTCGTAGAGTTATGGTGTAGTCGCTAGGGGTAAGGCTTTGGTGTGCAAAGCAAACACGGCACCCAGATTCTACAGGTGAAAGTGACCTTGGGGAGCAGAAGAGGAGCGAGAGTGCCACGGCTTTTTGAGAGTTCCAGGAGCCAGGAAGCTGGCCACCCCCGCTCCGCGCATTTATCCGTGGCAGTAGCCAGCAGGTGGAGTCCTCAGGTGACCGGCTATGGAGCAGTTACCTGAGATCCCCCTCACAACACGTAGAGGTGGGTGTGGGTCTGCTGGGTCTTTTGTCAGGGTAGTGTTGAGGGTTGGGCTTTGGTGCCAGCCAGACCTAGACTTGACTCTGGCCCTGCCCATAGCAGCTTACAACCTCCAGTGAGTTTTTAACCCCCTGACCGCTCAGGGTCCTTGTCTGCAAAGGGCACATGATGGGAGCTTTGTTTATAGAACGTGAGATGATAGAGGCAAAGCGCTGGCCTCCACGCTGGGCAAGCCACAGGCGTGGCACGTGATTCATCTTACAGTTGTCCAGTACACACCACTGAACCAGCAGCGCTGTTCTTGTCCAGCTGGTCTTCAGCGCACACCTCGTTGTGTCCCCTTGTCTTAATCAGAGACTCATTTCACTGTGTCCCACTTCGTGCTTCTCAGTGACCCGTGTATCTACGTATGTTCAGTCCCGGTCCTCGACTGTGCACAGATTTCCCCCTTGCTCTGACCAGCAAGAGTAAAGTCATCTCTTGGCTCCACCCCAGGTCTTCTTCCTTCACTGCGTCTCTTCAGGTTTCTTTGGCTCCCAAGGGTTCCTCCCTTTGGGGAACTCCCGGATGGTTTCTTGCAGCCGCCTGTCATTTGCATCCGTGTGCTCAGCCCCTGATGTGTGACAGCTTCTGTCATACAGAGCGCAGAGGTTATAAGAGGAACTCAGAGAAGGGCGGATGGATGAGCTGACACAGGGCACCCACTGAAGCACAAGCCAAGTTCAGGAACAGTTCAGGGTTAGAGAGATCTGCAATTCAGGACATGTGATTTAGCAAGGGCAAACTGACTCGGGAGAGATTAAAGCAGAAGGCTGGATATGGAGACGTCCCAGGAAATGCAAGCGGCTCCTGCACATTTCAGCTAGTGACTAGATGTCAATATAGGAGTTACGTTTCTTAGCGATGCTTCTTGGCACCCATGACGTTTAAAAACTCTAGTCCGTGCTGGGTGTGTTGAGGCATGCCTGTGACCTCAGTACTGGGGGTGGCAGCTGAGGCAGGAGGATTGCGGTGAGTTTGAGGCCAGCCCGGACTATCCAGTGAGTTCAAGTCCAGTCTGAATTGCATAGTGAGACCTTGTCTCAAGAAACAACAAAACAAAACAAAACAAAAACCAGGAAAAAAAACCCTCTAGCTCATAAATTTTGTGTGATGAATGAAATCTTGACAACTCTCTCCTAGTGATTATTTGTGCAATAGAAGGGCTCTGGATAGAAATTGTATGTCAGCCCATTTCTGGAAAAACTTATCATCCTTGAATGCACAGAAAATCTTCCTGTTTATACATACTCTAAAGGAATGCTTCCGCCAAGAGACAGGTATATTTATTATCTATTGCTATATAAAAATTAATCCCAAATTTAGCACTTAAGATGACAACAGCGGCATTTATTAGCGCCTTTCCTGTGTTGAGGCCTCTATCCTGGCTCACTTGGGTCCTGGGCTTGGACTTCCTCATGAGGGGCCACCAAGGTGTCAGCAGAGTGTGCACGCTCCCCCCAGGCTCTGCCGGCGAGGGATCATCTGCAAGTTCACACATACAGTGGTTGGCAGAAGGCTTCCCCCTGGCCTTGGGGGCCTCTCCACGGGCCAGCTCACAGCTTGGACGCTGGACAGAGAGAAAGCGAGGAACAAACGGCAAGACGGAAGTCACACTGCTTTCCCCCGGTCCCAGAAGTGGTGTCCCATCACTCTGCAGCCACTCGCTAGATCCAGCACACGTGACGGGGAGAGACTGCTCCAAGACTGTGGACTGGCAAGGTCCCTCCTGCTGGTCGCTGGAGAAGCTGCCTCCACAGGAGGAGAAAAAGGAAAAGAATTATCACAAGAGCCTGGACCTTTGACTGGGACATTTCTCTATGTGGAGGTGAGAAGTTCCTAATTCATGTTTCATCCATTTTTTGGATCCTCAAAGAGATGATCTATTTAGTCACTTGGAATTTACCTCACCTCACATTCATTCATAGAATTATAGCTTACACGAGGGAGTGCCAAGGAAGAGAAGATCAAAAGGGAGAAGAACTAGAATTAACATTTCTTCCTCTTCTACGACTTTTCCGGTGGCATTGGAAGCTGAGCCCAGGGGCCTCAGACATGCTACGCAAGCACTCTACCCTGAGCTACACACTCGCACCCTTTTTTCTTATAAAACAGTTTTAACATACAGAAAAGGTAGAGAAATACATATCGAACTGCCAAGTACTCATTACCCAGAAGAAGCAATTCTAGCATTTGTTGAACACCTGGGCAAATAACTGTATAAAATAATTCTGAAATGTTATGTTTACTTAATATTCTCAACAACCTTGTAAAGTGAATATTATCTTTGTAAGAAGAGGAAGAGAGACCCAAGCTAGGTGGACTGGTTGGAATCGCCATGTGATGTCTTCCACCAGGCCGGGATACAGGCACAGGCTTTTATCAGATGTGGACTGGATGCCGATGCCGTGCTTTGGATTTCCCAGCCTGCAGGATCAAAGCCAAATATTTTATTTTTTATAAATTGTATAGTCTTGGGTATTCTGTGATAGCAACAGAAAGTGGACTAAGATAGCAGCCAAGTTATCAGACCAAAGAAAAGTCACATCAAAGTAGTGGAGCCAGCCAGGGATATAGCTCAGTGACACAGCACCTGCCCCGTAAGCATGAAATTGTGAGTTCAATTCCTAGTACTTAAAAAAAAAAAAAAAAAGTAGCAGAGCCAAAGCTAAGCAAGTAATTAGGTAACCAGCTGTGAGTGTTACAACTCAAAGAGAACTATGTACTGGGTGACCAGCACAAGTTCCAGAAGAGGAACAAAGGCCAGCTGTTTTCAGCTCAGTGCGTGTGGCTCTAAGCAGCGGTGTCAGGGTTGCATGGCATGTGCTCGGCAGAAAGCTCTAAACGAGGCAGGATCTGGGAAAGGGAAAGACGCCGCTAGGATCATATCCTTCCCAGCGGGTAGCATCAACATTTCTTAATTTTGAATAATGTATGCAGGGCTTCTCAAGGTGAGAAAGAGGAATGGGCATCTTGAGGCTCCAGGTATAATTTTAGAAAGAAAATTCCCTATATTGGGAGTGTTATGACTTATTATTATACTTCAGTTATAGAATGCGAGTCTTCACTTGGAGAGGACATGAGAAAAACTAAGTTGATGGTCTTGGGAAGAGTGAAACCCATGACCGGAGGGCCATTTGGTTGTCTCCCCTTTCCAAAGCCACAGTCTGCAGTAGCTCAGAAGTCAGGGCCCTATTAAAAGTCCAGGTGTTTGCTTACAGATAGTACAGGTGTGGTGCCAGAGCACTGTCGTGGGGTGAGTACTACAATAAAGCAAGCCACGTGAATTCTCAGTGCATATGAAAGTTATGTTTATGCATACTATAGTCTGTTAAATGTGCAATAGTATTACGCCTAAAAAGTGTACACAACTTAATTAAAATGCTTTATTGCTGGAAAATGCCAGTGATCATAAGTCTTTGACAAGTGATGATCATTTTGCTTGTGGAGGATCTTGCACTGATTTTTTTTTTTCCCAGTACCAGGAACCGAACTCATGACCTTGCGCTTGCCAGGCGGGCACTGTGCCGCTGAGCTAAATCCCCAGCCCCTTGCACTGATGTTGAGGGCTGCTGCCCACCGAGCTGACCCATCAGGAGGCACTCAGGCAGCTATCGCCTTACCAAATGTGTTTCTTTTTTTTTTTTTTAGGTGTGTGCTACCCATGCCCAGCTTCATTTTTTTGGAGGGGGGGGGGGAAAGGTGGCTGAATTTCCCAGGCTGGATTTGAATTTGGAGTCCTCCTGATATAGGGGAAAGGAACTCCCAGCCTGCTAGATGTCTGGTACAAGTTCGTGTTCCCTAAAATCAAAGAATGGATTTTAGGAACCACAGAAGTTAACAGCACAATATGTTTATTGGGGGAAAGAAAGCTTCTGTCCGAGAGAGACAGAAGGGGTCCCGAGTGGTTTGCTCCCAAATGTGTTTCTTAAATAATGATCAAGAGGGGCTGGGGATTTAGCTCATCGGCACAGCGCCTGCCTGGCAAGTGCAAGGTTGATTGATTCCTGGTACCAGAAGAAAAACAAGAACAAACAAACAAAAAAAAGAGTCAGAGTTATTCTTTAGCCATGGGCTGTAGAATGAATGCTGTGTTGGTGGGATAAAAATGACAGGAATTGATGGAGACCGCTATGAAGCAGACCTGAGCAGGACTTAAATTAATCAATTGGTTTTTCATGTTCACTTGTCAATCTGTCCAAGGCCTAGGCTCCTTGTCTGGAAATAGGCAGTGGACTCATAGCAAGTGAACCTCTGTGAGTCACTAATCCCTATTAAAACCTATAGTGGTGGATGAAGCCAGAAAGCCTCAGAGGATAAGACAAGATCACAGCCAAGGATACCTGGATGCAATCTCTATTAGATAAAGACCAGAGCCTCAGGCCTCTCGCTCCTGGATGGATTAATTTAATACCTTACTTGGAGAAGTGCCTGAGTGGTTCTGCCCTTCTGAGCACTCCCGTCCCTTCTTCTGATAACTAAATAGATACAGTCACCCAGAGAAGATCTTGGTCTTAGCCCTGAGAGAATCTCGAATTCTGTGAGAGGGCTCGGTCCTCCTGGAGCCCTGAAATCATTCCACTTGCCTCTTTTTATTTAGCTTTCACCATACACTCATTCGGGAGATTGCGGACCTGATCAGCTGGAGATAACTAAGGGATATTATTAACTGTCTTAGTTACTTTTCTCTTGTTCCTGAGACCAAATACCCAATGCCCAAAATTAAGGAATGAAAGGTTTATTTATCTTGCAGTTCGTGGAGGTTTCAGTCCATAATCAGCTGGCTCCAAGGCAGGGTGGGCAGGGCACAGGGGCAGCACTGCAAGGCGGCACAAGACAGCAAAAGCAGAAAGAGCAAGAAAGGGAGGCGGAAGCATGCCTCTTTTCCTCCCTTATATTGTAGGCAGGCTGCCCCCATCCAGGGGGCGTGCAGCACTCACATAACCTCCATGCCCTCCTCTTGCTCAGGCTCAGGATGAACACAAAGTAAGGACCCTGGCTCCCTGCTGAGTCACACAGTTAACCTTCTAAACTTCTCACATTGACACAATGAACAACATCCCTGGAGCGCTAAGGGCACTCTTCATCCTGGGATGTAGAACTGCTGAGTCACTTAGTCAAGCCTCTGGACGCCTCAAGTTGATACAATGTACCAGCCATAACATTCACCCCATAAGGAATCTCCCTGTACATCTCCATCAGAGCTGGGTGAGCAAGAGCACCCTCAGAGAGTGGTACTGCTTTGGAAGTTTCCTGTTTTTCTGAGCAGTAGGCTTGCAGTTTGCAGTGAATCATGTTTGTAAACAGATGTATTGTCCTCTGGGCTTTGTCATTCCACTCACAGAGCACGGGAGAGCACAGGTTAGTATAATTCCTAAGGGCTCTAGGATTTTCCTAATAATAAATGAGCATTGGCTTCCACTCCAAGTTTACAGCTCCCTTACCCCCAACGCCAGTCCTTTGAAGGTTGTCAGGCAGGCAGTGCTTTCTCCTCTGTAGCCATGAGTGTCCTGGGTAGCATCTTTTTCCATAGAAGACTGTCTGTCCTGGAAGTCTATCGTTCACTGTAGACACATTCATCAATAATCCTAGCTAGACTTTCTGGATAACTTGCTGCTGCTTCTCCATCAGCATTTCTTACTTTATCTCTGACATTGTAGAGAGGGCTTCTTTCTGTATGCCTCATGAACCAGCTTCTGCTAGCTTCGGACTTTTCTTCTGCTGCCCCTCACCTTCCTCAGCCTTCATGAAATTGTAGGGAGTTAGGGTCTCGCTCTGGGTTATACTTTGTCTTAAGGGAATCTCTGCTGGTTGATTTGGGACCAGAATTTCTCCCCCTCAGCAGTACGACTATGTTCTGTCTTATTATTCTTGTGTTCACGGAATGGCATTTCAATTGCTTGCAAGAACTTTTCCTTTGCATTCTCTACTTGGATCACTGGTGCAAGAACCTAGCTTTCAGCTGCTCAGCTTCTGAAATGCTTTCCTACTATCTTAATCATTACTAGTTTTATACTTAAAGGAGAGATATGCAATCCTCCTTCATCGACTGAAGAGGTAGAGGCCACTGCAGGATTGCTTAGTGATGCACTTTCAGCATCGCTACGTGTCAGGAAACAGGGAGGCCATGGAGAGGGAGAGACGGGTGCCGGCTGGGTGGGGAGATGTGTTGACTACATCAGCAGTCACACATGGCACGGTTGTGGGGTCTCACAGCGGTTGAAATAATAGCATCCAGGGTCACTGATCATAGACCCTCAGAGCAGACACAAAATAGCGACAACTGTGAAACACTGAGAGACTTACCGAAATATGACACACGAGGTGAGCACATGCTCTTGAAGGGTGGCGCCAGCAGACTTTGCGATGCAGGCTTGCCATGGACATCCAGTGGGCAACAAAACAGGTGGCAAATGTGCGTAAAGTTCAGGGAAACAAATTACAATAAAACAAGGTGCCTGCATGTACCAGGTGGGTAGTATACATTACAAAAACGCTTGAAGAATAAAAGGTTTAAAGAAGAATAAAAACAACCAAAACCAAGCAGAACAAACAAGCAGGGCACCTGCTCTCAACTCCACAGAGAATCCTGAGCAAGAGTTGGCAGTCACCACGGAGCCCTCTCTGTACGCAGGTGTCCATGTGAGTGTGTAGATACAACTCTTCAGAAATGGGGTCTCATTATAAGGGCTTTTTAAGAGTAAAAAGCATTAAATTTATTTTTACTTGAATGTAACAGGAGAAAAGCAAATGAAGTTAGTAAAATTGTTCCACTTGTAATTAATAATGGTCTCTTCAAATCAAATAATTTTCATTTCCTAAAGATAACTCCAAAGTTTCAGAAAATCCTTTCAGTTTAAAAAATTCCTCATGTTAAATAGCATTTATGAAGCTCCTGCTCTGGAAATGAAGAGCCTCGTAGTCCCTAACTTTCCCGTAGAGCGCTATATTTCTGCGAAATCTAGTTATTTTTATATGATCAAGAGTTACACATTTGCCCTGTTATATAACTGTAATTCTCAGTTTTGCTTTTTCTTTAAATCACAAAATGGGTTTAATGAACAAGCTGTCATTTCCGGATTGTTTCTTTTCACTTAACTTTTGGCTTGCTGGAGTTTGCTGTCGGATGGCTTTTCAAAAAGATCTCATGATGGTTCGATTTCATGAACGCTCACTTTAAAGCCTGTTTCTTGTCTGTATGTTTTAAGTACATTGGTTAGGCACAGAATTACCCTTCCTTCCCTGAGAGCCGCCCGCAAAGAGCTTCACCGGCCTCCAGGCCTTGGCCCTGCCGCTGGGGAGGTGGAGGCCATCCTGGTCCTGCACCCGCCTCCCAGACCTTGCGCTCCTGGGAGATTTTCTTTTTTGGCATCACCAGTTTTCACAAAACTTCCAGTTTACTTTAGGATATGTCTGGGCCTTAAACGCTGTTTATCAAGTTTTCCTGGGAAAGTTGTAGTGCTGTAAGTCATCTCTTTTTTTATATTAAATCTTTCATCATCTTTTCTTTTACGCTTGGCTTTTTTCTTTAAGAATAATAAATTGTTAATAACAGTGAGCTGTTCTTTTTATATTAAATCTCCTTTCTCTGTATTCCTTACTAGAAATAATCTAATAATTTTCATCTTTTTCCGTTTTATCCTGTAATGTCTAAGTTTGCCTTTGAAATACTCACTTATTGCTTCACTCTTGGTTGCCTAGCTGTGATCTTTATCTATGAAAAGACTCGATTATTCCCCCAGACTTGCCTTCTCGCTCAGCCTTGTGTGCTTGCAGTTTTTTATTTTGTTCATTTTCCTTCTTCCTGCTCTCTGACTTCCTGCTGTACTTCTTGGATGTGTCAATCCCTGTTATCTCTTCAGCAGTGGGAGGAAATTCTGATCATGTGTCATAATCCACTCTTGGTTTCTCAAAAACTTAAAGGAAAGCATTGAGAAAACTTGCCAGGCCGTAGGTGAAGGACCTTCCAAGAAGAAAGAACAGCGAGTGGAACAGACTTGGAAGGAGCAGTGTGGAGCTGTTGCTGACTTGGAAGGGGACCAGGTGGGCCGAGGACCGTGTACACTAGACAGAGCTGGAGAGGTCGGGCTGTGCAAGGCCCTCAGGGGATGGAGGCTGCATTGTGCTCGTGGTGCCCTGGGTGAAGGCAGGGCAGGGCGGGGGAAGCAAGCAGTGGCCACATCATTTGACATTGTTTGTTCAAAAGGATATGCAGACGTGAAATATGTCCCAATACGTGCCTAAGAGAAAAAGCACATGATAAATTAGCATGCATTTCTATCGCATTTTGTTTAAAAGTAATCATATTCAAGATGTACAGCAGCATGTGCTACTCTGAAAATATTTATGGAACAGTAATAATATTTATGTCTTAGTGATACAGTGAGAGTGGATGTTCTTATTTTTATTCTATCGAGTCTTTGTTTCTTCACACTTTCCAGAAATATTTCTTCTGTTGTACAGTCTGGGGACATGTGTCAGCATTTACATTATCTTGTTAATTTCTCTTTTTCTTTTAATCAATGCATAATAATTGTGCATGTTTATGAGGTACAGTGTGATGATTCAATACAGGTATGTAATGTACAATGATCATACTAGGGCAAGCAGCATTTCAATCTCCTTATTACTTCTGTATGATTGGAGCTGTTAATCCCCTTCCTCTTGTTCTTCATAAAATGTATAATAGTTGATGTAAACTAGAGCCATGTTGGTTTTTTTTTAAATAGAGATTTAAGATGAGGAATGGATTGGAAAGGATGAAGAGTAGACAATGAAAGATTAAATGAGGAATGTTTACGCCTTCTCATATTAGACACAATGGCAGAATAGGGGCGGTATTAAAAGTAGAAGGCAGGCCGGGCATGGTGGCACACACCTGTAATCCCAGCACTTGAGAGACTGAGACAGGAGGATCGTTGGGAGTTCAAGACCAGCCTGGACTACAAAGTGAGCTCAAGGCCAGCCTGAACCGCATAGTGAGACCCTGTTTTAAAACGCCAAAAAACAAAACAAAAAACAAAAAACAAACAATAAAAAAACAAAGAGAGCAGAGTACAGAATTTTTTAAATGGAGGAAACTGGATGGACTGAGTATTTTAATCCATATTTTTGCATCCATTGCAATTTGACTTGTAATAGTGAAAATGCTGAAAGAATTCAAATGTCTGTCGACAGAAAAATTTAAATTGTGATAAAGACCCTGAATGAAATACTGCTCCATGATACAAGGAATGATCTATGAATACATGCAATAACAGAAATGAATCTCAAAATAATTGAGTGAAAGAAGTCCAAAAAAGGGTCAGTACTGTAGGCTCTATTTCAATAAAATTTTAGAAAATGTGAGCTAAGCTATTGTGACAGACAGCATGCCAGTGGCTGCCTGGTGGGTATGTGGGTGGCAGGGAAGGGTGGGAGGCATATCTTCTCTCTTGTTCACCTATGAAAGTTGTTATTGGTGAGTTTTGCCTAGTGGAAATGTTTGATTTCTGCATTGTAAACTTTATAGATCTTTTTGTTCATGGTTATTCAATTTTGTATCATAGTTGAGGATTTTCCACTCTTTAAGAATTCTGTCATGATATCTTATAGCACATGCATTAGTCTGTTTTCTGGTGCTATCACAAAACACCTTAGGAGGAATGCTTTATAAGGAAAAGATGTGTACTTAGCTCACAGTCTTGGAGGCTGGAAGTCCAAGACCAGGCAGCTCCATCTGTGTGGCCTGTGGAGCGGGCCTCCTCGGCTGCCTTCCAATACGGTGGACAGCATCCCTGCAGCACGTGTAGGAGACAGGGAGATCACAGAGTGACATGGGAAGCCAGAGAGCAGGTAGCAGCTGTTTTTGCTCTTTTTCATTTTTGTGAGGACTCATTCTGAGACCAGTGTTCATCCCCACCAGAGTGATGCCCACAGTGATCTAGTACTTCCTACCAAGCTGCACCTCTTACAGATGCCATCATGTCCACTGCCACACTGAGACCAACCCTCCAGCACACCCATCGTTCAGGACACACTCGAATTATAGCAGCACATTTACAACTTCATTATTTACACTGACATCTTGGATGCAATTGCAGAGTTTCCTGGTGTAGAGTGGGAGGTGTTGTTACAACTTTAGCTTTATTTTTAGATGGCTAGCACACTTCCCCAAATCACTGATACAGTAAATCTTCTCACCATTGACTTTATTTATTTTTTTTGGTACCAGGAATCAAACTCAGGACCTTGCACTTGCCAGGTAGGCACTTGTACCGCTGAGCTATATTCCTGGCCCTATATATAGAATTTTGGTCTGAATTTCTTTCTTTCTTTCTTTTTTTTTTTTTGTACCAGGAATCTAACTCAGCACCTTGCGCTTGCCAGGCAGGCCCTTGTGCCACTGAGCTATATCCCCGGCCCCTCACCACTGACTTTAGGATCCCATCTTTATCTTTACTAAGTACAAGAAAAGGCTTTAATGTGGAGGTTCTGGAATACATTTGAGCACTGACAAGAATCATCCAGCAGAGAGGGTAGAAGTTGAAAATCGAGGGGAGACACCCCTGAGATTGAGAGAGCACAGGTGAGAGAGCACATTTTAATAGTAGATAAGAAAAGCTGACATTTATTGAGTCATTATTCCCTGCTAGTCAGTGTTCTGAGCACTTTACACAGATGAAGTCATCTAACCCTCTGAGTAAGGGCACTTTCCCACTTACAACACACTGGATTAGAGAACACTGCAACAGGGCGCTGTGTTTCACCATAACTGGATCTCGACAGCAGAAGCTGCAAACAGGTAAATCAGAGTGAACCTGTGCGGCAGACCCTCACTCTCTCTCCCTGAGGGCTCGTTCCCGCCCAGCGTGAGGTGCGGCTTGTGCAGACTCACTGTTCCCTATCCAGGCTGCAGATTCTTATTCTTGATTAACACTTCCCGTGAACTCACCTGCTTCTTTATTTGCGTGACTCTCCTAGTCTCCTTCCTCCATCAGCTTTTTAGCTGGTGTGTGTCTTCCTGTCGAGTAAGTACACAAACTCAGAGCTTGCTTTGCTGATCCCTGTAACGGCACTGGCTTTCTGTTAGCAGCTTTCAACAAACCTGTGATGTAGGCTCGAGAATTATTCCCATCTTACTTTTGAGGAAACAGGGGCCAAGAAGGCTAAAAGACTTGCTCAGGATCAGATTGCGATGTGGTAGCGGTAGGCTTTGAATTTTGGTAGTTTAACTCCATGGGCTTATCCTTCCATGTTGAAATGGTTTGAATGTGTCTAACACAAAATTCGTGTGTCTGGACTCACTCTCCGGCTTCACGGCGATGAGAGGGAGGCCTTGTGGGGAGCTGCCCGGGTGACGCGGGTCCAGCCCTTAGAAGCGGCTTAGTGCCGTTACAGAGGGCTCCACAGAGGGAGTTTGGTCCTTCCGCCTTCCTGTCCTCTGCCTTGCAAGATGGAGCCAGGGCACAGCATGCAGAGCACCATCTTGGAAGCAAAAAGGCAGCCTGCACCAGACCTTGATCTTAGACTTCCTGGCCTCCAAACCGTGGGAAACACTTTTCTATCTTCTCTCTTATCTGTCCGCAGTGCTCTCTTACAGTGGAAGGCAGCGAACAAACATATCCAGGTAGGCAGGACTTCTGTCTTCCTGTTGAGGGAGAGGACTGTGATGAATACAAAGAAACATTCTCAGTTCGTCTGTGTTGCTACAACAAGAACACCAGAGACTGGCCGCTCAAACAACCGCTCATCTCTCACAGCTCAGGAGGCCGGGAGGCCAGGAGCAAGGAGCCAGCAGATTTGGTGTCTGCTTGCTGGTTCAGACTACCACCTTCCCAGCGTCTCCTCGCGCGGCCCAGGGGCAGCGGGAGTCTCTGGGGTCTCGTCCATGAAGTTGCGAGTCCCGCTGTCCACGCCTCATCGTTTCGTGGGGCCGTACCCTCTGTGCCAACATCACCCCGGGCGTTAGGACCTCGACGCGTGACCCGTGACGGCGAGGGCCGCGGGCCTCGGTCTGCGGCGGAGTCAGCCCGCTCAGTCGAGCCACTTCCTCCGGCCTGATCGGCTGCGGCCAGGTGGGTAAGCGCAGTGCCCGCCCACCCTGAGGAAAGCCCGTGGCTGTAAAGCAAGACTCCATCTAGAGAAAGGACAACTGATCAAGGGAGGAGTGACTCAGGAGACACAGAAGCGGGCAGCTGGACACGGAGGATCGAAGGTATCGGGTGGTGTTCTTTGGCCCTGACCCTGGGTTTAGGGTGGATGTGAACCGAAACTGCGCAAGGTGCGGGGCAGGCAGAGGCGTGCGATTCTGTCCGCGCACACTTCGCTCCAGTTGTCTGGGATTCGCAGGTTACCGTCACCGTTTGCTCCCCGGAGTTAGTGTCCTAGACGCCGGTGGTGCTCGGCTGCATTGAGCAATGATCTTTAAGCGGAGGTGGCTCTGCTTAAAATCGTTTCGTAAACCCTGCACCTGTTGGCCAGGGTTCCGGTCGCTGCTCCCGGTGAGCTTCCCATGCTGCCCCGGTTCTGGGTGTGAGAGCAGCGGGCGGGCAACGATCTGAAGAAGGTGTAAGAACACGGATGGGCCGGACGGGAAATATTAAAGATGGATGATGGGGTGGGGTGGGGGTCAGTGACAGAGCGCTCCTCTAGCTTGTGCAGGACCCTGGGTTCAATTCCCAGCGCCGAAAAAAATAAATACAACAAACAAAAACAACAGATGATACACGGATAAAGTTGCATAAGCCTCATTCTTTTTCATAAACATTGCAACAAGCCTGATTGCGGAGTAGGTCCGGGGTTAGAAGATTGCAGTTCTTTCTAAGCCATTTGCATAAAAGCAGGGGGCTTGCTTCTGTCTTTCAGTTCATCTTTGAAGGAGCCGGCTGCCTTCCAGTGCAGGGTTTGTCTAATTGCTGAGCGGAGGAGGAGGTCGCAGTGTCCTTGCTTGTGCTTTCCTCCTTAGGAGAACACTTTCCCTTTGTAATATGACTGCACCCATACCTGTTTTTTTTATTTTAAAAATAAAAGGAGGAAAATATTAACAGACAGAAAACCATTTACAAAACAGCAAAAGAACAGTACAGACAATACAGAGTTACAAACAAACTGGTAGGAAGTTAACAATGCTTGTAGTATTACATATTGATATCTTCAAAGTGGTTTCTCGTGAAAACAGATAGAGACATGCAGTATTGATCAATCAAGGACTCATTGACAGTTTCTTTCAGCAAAGAAATAGAAGACAGTAGAACAACCATGTTAACTATCCTGTATATACATACATATAAAATTTCTCCTTCTTTCCCTTTTCTTTTCCCACATCCCAGTTGCCCTGTACCCTTGAGTGTTTTCCTATCATTTCACAATGTCTATCATACCTCCTAGTTTAAATTAACTCTTCCAGGTTTTACACTAGTGAGACAATGCAGTGCTTGCACGTGCAGGTCTGATTTATTTCACTTATGAGTATGGTCTCTAGGTGTGACCATTTACCTATAAAAGCCTCGAGTTTATCTTTCTTTATAGCTGAGTAATATTCCATTATATAAAAGTACCACAGTTTTCTTATCCAATCCTCGGTGGATGGACATTTGTACACCCATATCTGAAGGCCCCTCTGATTTGTGAAGCTTTTTCCGCCTAATTCCTGCCCACAGTTGACTTTTTCCTTTTTAATGTCTATAGTCCAGACGGTTTGATCCACACCCATGTACATGCCGCCTCATGTTCCACATCAGAGCCTTTCTCCTCACCTGATCCTTTCTCATGCTATGCAGGAACAGAGATCTACGGAACTCACCATCCAACCGGGGTGCTTATTTCTTAATGTGCGGACCGTAGCTTTTACTTCCCTTCCTAATGCCCACGGTTCCTGATACGATTCCATAATACTGTGCTGCCCTTGAAACACTTACTGATTTGACCTCTCATCCTTAGAAAAGATAAGGGCTTCTTGTCAGCTCAGACTGGAAGAGAACTGTAATGACTTTTCTATCTAATTCTCCAGCCCTGAAAACGTCTGCACCCTTGATGTACCAGGAGTGTTATAGCACACTGTTCTCCTGGGTTGAAGACAGAGGTAAACCGCAGCACCTTCATACGGCAGTGCCGTGAACACTGAGCGTGTGGACATCATCTTTGTGGCAGTGCTACACGTAAGATATTCAGGTCTGATGTTACCGAGCCAGGACTGTATAGCAGCCTATCTTTCTCTGAAACACCATTTGTTTTTTCAATCCTAAGTTTAAAACTTAGTATCTGGGATTTCATGGTTGACTAGAGGCAGTGGCGTTGAGGAGACACTCGGAAGACACACACCATAGCCGGGTGTGGTGGCACACACCTGTAATCCCACCACTTGGGAGGCTGAGGCAGGAGGATTGCTGTGAGTTCGAGGCCAGCCTGGACTACAAACTGAGACCCTGTTTCAAAAAAAAAAAGACACACACCAAGAGACATAGAGACCCGGAAATGGGGCAAACAGAGACCCAAATACGGGAGGGCAGCTTGGAGGAGAAGCCAGCCAGGTGAACTCCAGCATCGGAAGTGTTAAGAAGCAGGGCCACCCCTTGCCCAGGTCTGCTGAAGACGCACCTTGGGAAAAGATTGGACACCTGTTGGAGGAGGGAGTGCAGCGGCCACAGCCAGGTGCTGCTGTTAGGGTTTGGGGGTTATTCTCAAGGGGAACAATATCATACAGGACGCATACTCTATAAGATTATTTATAGTAGTCACCCAAAGAATGATAGTGCAGGAAATCTGTCCATACTCTAAGACCAAGAGAAGAGAGTGCAGGAAATCTGTCCGTACACTAAGACCAAGGAAACTAGCTGAGGGCCTGGATCCCACATAAATGTCCTGCGTGAGGCCAGCTGAAGACCTAGAGCTCATAACAATGCCTCCCACGAGTCCAGCTGGAGGCCTAGAGCCCACGACAATATCTCATGCAGGCCTGTTTCACGGATCTGCACTGGGAAGGCCCAAGGACCGTGGTGGAATCTAGGAAGTCTGTGCCGGGGGATGAAGGATCTGTGCTAGCAGGCTGAGGGATCTGCACTGGAGCCAGGAAGTGATGCTCAGAGGAAGCAGAACCACTGAAGTTAGCACAGCCATCCTCAGCAACAGTGAGGTCCCGAGCTCCTGCAGTGGTGAACACAGCCGAGTTCCCATCGGGAAAGCCAATGCAGCAAGCTTCTCCAGGAGACCTGCAGTGCACCACCGTTCTCTCCGGAGCCAGGAACCCATGCTCAAAGTGAGGACCAGAGCTCCCCCAAAGTGAACTGAAGCTATTCTCAGAGCCAACAAGGTCCTGAGCTCCTTGGAGGATGAAAACAGCCAAGTTCATCAGGAAAGCCAGCACGACAAGCTCCTCCAGGAAAACCAGCAGCTCCTTACAGCTTCCACCAGCCCCTGACCCTAACCACAACCCTAACCGTTTCTCAGCTCCCAGCAGCCCTCCTTCTCCTCCAGCTCCGCCTCCTATGCTGCTGGCAGCAGTCCCCAGGTGGGCCTCCCACACCCAGCACCTCCCTGACTGAGCTCAGCTGGGGGTTACAAGTTGTCCAGCAGCTGTCAATCCACTGCACTGGCCCAGTGCCCAGCCCTGCAGGAGCCGGGCAGTGTCCTCGCCCTTCCCGGTGAGAGAGGAAGCTGGCAAGGGAGACACTACAGATCAGAGCACTAAAGCAAGCAAAAGTCAGAGACTCCTTGGGAGGGCGGTGACTGAGCCGGGACTCGCGGGCCCTTGGGAAAAAAGGAGCGAGGGTGCAGTCGGGCACCTGGATCTGGGCCCTGAAGATGGCAGCCCAGTGAGCCACAGAGCTAGGAGCAACTGCGACCAGTGCGGGCCAGCGAAGGCGAGAGACCGCGGGGCAGTGCTGAAGCGGGAGACCCGCACTCAACGCCAGCGAGCTCTGCACGCTGGGGCACCCCGCCTAGGCCGCCTCCGAGGGTGCGGCCAGGGCCTCCCCGGGCAGCTGGAAGTGCTGAGCTGGCGCCGCGGCCTGCGCGGGCTGGGCGGAGGCTCTGTAAGGTGTGG